ACATATTGTAATATATGTAATGTAAAGACTGAGAGAGATGAGTGAGTGGAGAGGGAGATAATAGGACGAGAGAGGTAGGAGAGAAGCAGATGAAAAAAGAATGAAAAAAGGAAGGAAAGTCAATCGGAGTTCGAGTTACGTTTCTAAAAGAATTTTGAAACTGCGACTATTTCGACAATCGAGTCAAAGAACCTGGCATTTCAAAGACACCATTCGTTGAATTGAGTTTTGCTAGCTATCCACGAAGAGTCTAATTCAGTTGGATGTTTAATGCACTGATGATGCAGTTTAAATCGAACTGTAACATGAGATCGATAATCTCTCCACCATAAAATGGAGCGTGGTTCAAGCTAAGAGGAGCTTTGTCGTTATCATGTAAATGTATATGTCATGTTTAAAAGGAATTTTAAATATGCTTTATTACTGTTCCTCAACTTTGTCCATTTGATAAATGTTGTGTAACAGGAGTCTTCGATTTCCTCGCTCGCAACTTTAACCAAAAACCTCCGTCCGGCAACCTGGCGAATGATTTCTTCAATACCATAGGAATTCTAATTACATTCAAGATATATATATATATATATATATATATATATATATTTTGTATATGTATAATAAAAGGTATACGAATATATTCAACATAGGCATTTGCAGAACGCGAAACATTGTTGCCACGTTCATTTTTGTGAAGTTATAACGTTTTGAAAATCTGACTCGCGTATACTTTACATGAAAAGATATCGTGTATATTTTTTTCCTATGGAACAGATGTGAGAACATGTGTTGTAAATGTGAAATGTATGCCACTGTCGAGAGAAACGTGTGTTCGCATTGGCCGACTATGGTATTTAATCGTGATTATATAGGTCGATATCGTTGCACAAAGAAATCGCAGCGAGTAATTTTAGATTTTTTAAGAATCAGACTCTAGCGCTGAGTATATGATTAAATCGATTAAATATAATCGATTTAGCTTTTAAAACAGAGATCTTAAAATGTTTTCATTGAGAATGCAGATCGTAATAATCGCTAATATCTTTGAGTGAGAAAATTGCTTGATGATTTTGAACTCGTTCGAAAGCTAATTGTACCATATCCAATGAGTTTATATCATCTTAACTCAGTTATCTCAATCAATAATCTAATTTGCAAAATATCGTCAACTAAATATAAAAATATTAATTTTACTTCGAAAATCGACTTTTATCTCTCAAATTTATTTTATTTTTAGAGATTACGATATGTATGACCACTTAACTTTAATTTACGTAAAAAATTGTTACATTACGCGATATTTGTTATACTTTTACCGATATTTGTTTTACTTTTATTTGTCATACTTTTTCATACTTTTTTTTACTGCAAGTGAGTTATATTGTATTATTTAAAAATTATTTTATAAATATGAGAATGATCAAGCATAGTTACATTTGATAAAACTTCTTATGGTGTAACTGCATTTCTATCTATAATAATACTTCCACAAGAAATAGATTTTACTAAACATCGTATCATAATTCAAGACAGAAAACATTAGCTGCAATAATTGATATATAGTATTATACTACTACTTCTCAAATAGTATGAAAAGGGTTACGCTAAAGAAAGTTATCGCATTTCTGAAGGTGGATTTAATGTTTGCATGTTGCTGGCCAGTATCGCGGAACGCAACAAAATTTCAGATTGTTTGCAATAAATATTTTGTTTAGTTTTAGAATTGCACGCGCAATATTATTAATTATTAACTAATATATACAATTATTTATCGTGTTGATAATTTTCGTATGTTAATGCAATCAAGCTGTGCAGTGGGTATTTCACTCGAAGTTCTGTTGTAGATGTTGCTATTTATCTTACGTTACTCGCCAGAAATATCCGTAATCTGAGAGAGAACATAATTTTCGAATGCGCAATTTTTCGAGAAGCCTCAGCAGCGACGAAAGGTGGATATAGCACGGACATGCACCTCAAATTATATACCCGCGATGCAGAAAAGTGAACGTTGCTATGTAGTTTACATCCACTTCATCAGGGGACGTTAGTTAGGGCATTTTGAGGTGTTTTTTGCTTAACAGGCAAAGGACTGTCATGTCCTCTCTCAAGTTTCTTTCTGCAGATTACTGTTGTTACCTATTGAGCCGCTCCTGCGAAGTCTGTCGAGCAACCCGTCGTACAGCCAAATTATATATAAATGCAACACCCTAAATTAATCATAATAACTTTATTAACTTTTCGAATTTCGGCATAAACCTTATTTAGCTATGGCAAAATAATGGTAAAAGTACGTACATCTTTTATAATTTAAAAAAATAATTTTTTTATATTTGATATTATAATCTCCTTTTAATATTAAAATAATATCACCAAGCAACTGCTATAAATATTAAATATTATATTAAAGTATATTTATTAAGTGAATAAGAACTATAAAAATATTATTTTCAACTAATAAAACTGTTATTTCTAACATTTTTATATGCAAAATTATAACTGTATTGCATAATTGCAATAAAATTGTTAAAATTATCGAAAATAAAAATGATGTCTTTCAATAAACACTAAATCAAAGATCATTGTATAAATTTACTCAACAAATGTTGAGTAGTGAATTAATGAATTGTATATTAGTAGAAAATCCGAAATCAAATTTTGATAAAGAAGTATATATTGCAAAACCGGTGTAAAAATTATATTATATATCGAAGTAACATGTAAATTAAAAGGAGAGAAATAATATAAATTGCAGACATATATTCATTTATTATATATTTAAAGACATTTTCCTTTGACAATCAATACGTTTGAGAGTTTCTGAAGTTGTGTTATTACAAATTGTGGCTGCATTTGTTTTAGAGAGAGATTTCATATTATATGCCAATAGATTTTGAATTAGTTATAATAAAATAAAAAGAATCTTTCTAAATAAAACGTACTAAGGAAAAGGGAAGTACGCGTTGAACCGAAAAATATCAAAAAGTTTTGGAAACATTTTCAATGTTTAATTTTAAGTATAATATTTCAAATTATATCCAACGAATGGACAAGAAATTACCGCGAGTTAAGATGACTTAACAAACCTCATGACACGAGAGATTCGGAACTTTTATTACGATATTATAAATGCACAAAAACATCTTAAAAATATGCATATATGTGTAAATACTATATGTGGGTATAATCAGGAGAACGACAAATTTTATTACAGTATGATAGGATGAAGTAGACAGTGCTACGCGTTGATCAGAATTATTCTGGTACATGTTCTACATTTCTGACTACTTTCTACCTTCTTCCTTTTTTTGTTCTTTTTTTTATTTGCTATCTCTTTCTTTAACTTAAATTCTAACAATAAGTGCAATGCTCTAATCAACTGCTCAACTATATCCTGCGATTACGCGCGTGATATGCATACGCACGCATATGCAGCGTTGGTAATCAAATTATTAATTTAATTAATCACAGATTGGATGTTGCTTCTCGAAAACTTTTTTCTTCAAACTTTCAAAGAAAAAATAAATAAATACATCAAAGGAAAAAATAAAACATATACATAATACGTTACAAGGGGGAGAAGTATTAACTCTATAATAAAATAAATTCTTGTATTGTATTATAATAAACATAATTGCGCGCGCGTGCAATTTTTGTTGCAAAGGCGCATAAAATATCTTTAATAAATTATTTTTTTCGCTGCAAGTGCATTACATGTATCTCGTTTCAGTTTACGATTTTGGAAGAAAAAATATTTTGTTTTCAACGAGTATCCTGTCTTCTCTCGCTCGGAAAAATAATTCATTATTTTATACATAATGAAACATTAATGTGTAGCAAGTAAATAACGTTATAATATTAGAGATCTATATTTAACTTCTGATTTTTTTCCGTTGTTTGTGGACTTTTAATTTTTCATTTATAAAAAAATTTGATGAGATTTCCGGATTTTCCCATTCAAAATCGCGACGTACAAACGCGCGTATTCGCTACATCAATTCCTCTGATATACCATATCAAAAAAACGTACTCAATCTTTTACTTTTCAAAAGATCAAAAAGATAATTACTAGAATGAGAGATTAAGAAAGAGAGATAGGAAAAAAACAACAGTTCAAAGAAGAATAAATGACAGAAAGGAAAAGAGACAGAGATATGAAAGCTAATACCGTACACACATCTCTATTAAGAGAAAAAGTCAACACAATTATTGTAAAATTACTTACTTCTCATTAAAAAGTTTATCACTTCAATCATCAATCTTTGTCTCTGATCGGCTACGCAGAAACAAAAATGAATGCAAGCCTTCTATAATCAAATTTAAATTACAAAATTTTTTGTTTATAGACAAAACATAGATTGTGCACGTATTATAATAAATTCATGTTTGTTTATCAAAGAAATATTACATTTATAGCAGAGAGAAAATAGTACTCGTTCAAGTTTAATTCTATAAATATACAAAATAAAAATCAATTTTCAAATAATATTTTAAAATTATTCTGTTTAGAATTATGTAAATATTGTAAATGTTGACAGATAATAGCCTATTTTTCGACCTTTATTATTATTTGTAAATATTTTTTGCCAATTGGATATGAATTTATTATCATTGGAATAAGAATATTTCGATACCGAAACTAATTAAAATAAAAATAATAATTTTCTTGCAAAACTGTACTTCTACTCAATTACACTTATTAAGATTTGCAGCCTGATAATGCATTCTCTCTCCCTCCTCTTCCCCCTCCCCCCCCCTCTCTCTCTCTCTCTCTGTCATAGATATATATATATTAGCGATTGCAATTACTTATCAACTATTTTTATCGGTGCCTTCTTATAACGCCTCGACCAGACTAAAAAACTACAAGAAGATGCCACAATTGTAGCAATGAGAGATGCATTAGATCATTAGATGCACGTAGGAAGGGGAGGGAAGCAACAGCCTCCTCCTCATAAATTTCCTTTTTTTTTTAGTACAAAAATAGATTTCGGGCACAAATCGCGCAGCCCCGTGCAGGGAACGATATTCCAGGTCTGCGTTAATAAAATAACCGAATTTAATATCATTATGCCTATCGGAAAAATAATGTCGGGTTTTCGTGGACGTGAAATTGTACATTTCTCACTTTGACGGATGCAGAATTTTTTTATTACTTTTCTCAAAGTTATAATACCGTAGATAAGCGAAAATTGCATTATCGTAACATCCGAAGACATGAACGAATGCAGCGAACGCAGGATGTGCAGAGAGCTAGTATGCCAACTACCACATTGACTTACAGTAATTATAATCGTATATAATACAACAATGTAAATTATAATTAGTAAAGTACATACTATGAAAGAACGATGTAATTCTGTCTTTAATTGGCAAATTTGTTACGACGTTTCAATAATCATGTCGGGCGCAGCCCGACGTGAAAGTAAGAAAACGTAATTTCGCGGCGAGACTGCGCGAAGTCGCCCGATCGAAGAACAAGAATCGCCCGTTGAAAAAAAAGGGCGAGAGCTACATTAAATCTTTTATTATCTCGGAACACGCTCAATAATAACCGATAGTCTCAAGTTGTAAAGAAATGCGAACTCGTATCCTTTTACCGCGATGGAGGCTTTAATGGCGCCTATAAAAGCGTATTCTTTACTGCAACGAAAGACGACAATGTTCTTCAATGTAAAATACTGGGAAATAAGTCTCACATTAATCAAATGCTCTTTCGCGATTCCTTTGTATTCAAGAATATTACACGACGGGTAAGCCCAGTAATTAAATTATAATGTTCAATCGAAGCAACAATTCTGGAACTTTATCGTTTACGTAAGGAGACGAGGAAGAGGATACGAGCTCGTCCTTGAATCTGTATTTTTTTTTATACATATATCGCAACTCAACGAGCGATCGCGACTGTTTTCCTTTCGACGATTTGCGTTGCAAGAACTTATAAAGGCCAGAGAAAACGTGATTATTTTATCGCAATGAATTTTCAAAGTGTAAAAAAGTTCTGTCATTATCTTTTTACCTTGTGGCATTATCATAATTCGTCGTACATTGTCATCAATTGCAGTTGCGTCATACGAATAAGATTGAAAGAAGTTGCTCGTCGAGTTGCCAATATCGGGTGTATAAAAACGAAGGAAAAGCTCGCGTCGAGCTCGCGTTGATTACGTCTACATTAATTTAACGCGTATTAAATCGATAATAATCGTTAATCATGCTGTTGACCGTTGTTGCGCGCGTACCACGATCATCGAAACGAAAGAACAAAAAAACGCAGAATCGAGAAGGAAAACGTCGCGTGAGTATGTCTTCTCTAATTTTATATTATACTCGCTTGTACTAACAATAAGTCTCCCTAAGCTCCCTCCGATAATCGTGTTCCTCCTTGACAAGACGAATCGCAAAGTCTCGATGAGAGAGAGGAGGCGCATTTCCGAGTAATTACAAAGATGCGCGAGGAAAGCGCTAAGTGGATCAAGGCGGTGTCCTTGATCCGTTCGATTGTCAGACAATGCAAAAATTAATCATTTGCGCGCACTTCTCATCTACATATAAAATGTTCGTCTCTAAGGAAAAGAAAATTTCAGAATGTAACGATATAACGTTATGTAAAATCCATTGAAGCATGCGGCAAGAAACTTTATGTAATTGTAGAGAGTTACGGAGTTAATCGCATATCCTTAGCGTATTTCATCTCGAGTGAAACATCATCATGCCGAATAATGTTCGCACGGGGATATTACATCGGCGAGGAGTGCATAAAACTTTTACACGCCAGCGCTCTGGCGTTGATATTGTCGATTCTCCTCGCGTAAACGCAAAACTATTGTATTACATGATTATACATTCCACTTCTGTATTTATTCGACGCGGCAATCGCCTCGCTTATTATCGGGCATCGGGCCACGATCGACTCAGCGCACCCTCGGCTCGCATCGAAAAACGTTTCGTCATTACTTATACTGATACAATGTAACTTATATTTTATATATATATATATATATATATGTATATATGTATATATATATATATATAAAAGTTTATCGAGCATGATATCTGTAACCATATCCGCGTTCCTATATCGAAGAAAACGGAAAAAAAAACTAGAAGAGAACTTCAGACTCATGCTTTCGCAATGAATAAAGGAGAAAGGGAAAAGAAAAGCCGTATGCGGCTTGTGTTTTACAGGAGTGTGAGTGTATCTGGTGAATACTTTTATACGTTTACACGTATGTATGTGTGTGTGTATGTGTGTGTGTTTGTGTGTCAATATGAGAGTTGACCTCGACGTAGCACTAATAAATTCTTTACCCGTCGTGAGCCCAGAGAATCTAAGGACTCAGCTCTAAAGATACGCTACATAAGAAGATTAAACCGACGAGAAGTGCAACATTAACGAAATATCGATAGAAATTTATAATGTATAATATATATTATTTATATTTATATATATATATTATGTATATGTATATATAATCATATATTAATCCATTCGCGTTCAATATATATATTATATATACTCTCTGAAAGGCGACAGTAGAGAGACTACTGAAATAAATGCATAGGTATAATAACATACGCAAAGAACGAAGACACTGATTTTGAAATTTCTCTTTTGCCAGTCGTATTATTTTTCCCGTATTTTCTTTGTAGAGTACGTGTACAAAGCATTCCTTTTCCACGTGCTATTTCTCCGTTCGTCAGCTTTGTCCTTTGCTTGCAACAACTATACAGATTCGTTCGATGAATCTCCCACCATCTACACTATCTGTTTTAATTTTTCCTATTCTTTACAACGTAAACAACGCAACAGACGATCGGTAACTGTTTAGAAATACATCGAAGAATCATGTGTAAATTCCTAATGAGATCCAAAAATAACAGAGTCCCAAAGTTTCATTTTTGTCATGAAAATGCTACAGTAAGATTCAGAAATAGAATTAAAAAAGAGAATGAAATTGATAGAGAGTGAAAGAGAAGGATGAGAGAGAAAGCGAGAGAGAGAGAGAGAGAGAGAGAGCTGAATGATAAAAAGAAAAGTGAATAAGGAATGAAGTGAAGAATGGGTACAAGTCTAAGGAAAAAAAAATATTCGCTTAAATGTGTTGCACAAATTCCGGATTGAGATACGAGAAACCCATAAATTCCGTCTGGTCCAAATTCATCATGAATAGCTTATCCGTAGGAGTCAAATCTGTCTTCTCCGAGGTGAATTGCTTGTCGAAATTACTCACGTCCTTGCGATGTTGCTGTACAAACAAGAACACGTCGTTTTAGACATTTTTCAAAAATATTCCACAGTGAAAATACTTACAATTTTTGGCTTAAATGGTGGCTGCACCTCGCGATTCTCTATCTTCTCCCAATCGATACGCCGGAAAAATGCATGGCTTCGCACGTCGTCCTCGCCGCGCATTCCGCATCCTAGTCTCTTGCTCGGGTTCTTCGTGAGAAACTGAGCAACAAAACGAATTTTACGCGTGAGCTAAAAATTTTTTCAACAGCAGCAACGTATATCATCCGTACCTCGCACATTCAAATAAATTACTTTTGTTAGAAATTTTCATTATATCACACGTCAATTTTTAGAATTATTCACAAATCCATAGTATTTACGTTGAAATATTCATAGAAATGTCATTTAATTATCCAATATTGAAATTCAAGACATTGCGTTCAGTTCCTTCCGATATTTCCACTAAAGAAAAATCTACCTCGAGTTCTCTAAAAAGTCCTTCAGAATATATTTAAATAAATCCGAGACTCTCTGTATATTGTACAAGCGTCTAAACTTATTTAAAATTCCAGGAAGCTGTAGAGAGATAATACGGGCGCATAGAAGACACGCGTACCGCTTTACAAACTTCTTTGGCTTCTTTAGACAGACTCTTCGGATAACTGACGTTGTGGTCCGTAATCGCAGAAAAAAGTTCATCCTCATCCTCGCCGTCAAACGGTGGCTGACCTACTAACATCTCGTAGAGTAATACACCGTAAGCCCACCAGTCCACGGATTTCCCGTAGGGTTGATATAGGATAATCTGCGTAAAGATTAAAGAAATTAAACAAGCCCCGGCAGTAAGACAGTACCGAAGTTCCAGCTTCACTTATTAAGGCGGCAGGATACTTTAAATAAAGATTTTTTTTTGCTTGAATTGCAGGAAAAGTATAAATACAATCTACTTGTAATTTGGCATTTTATTAATACATATGTTAAACTTGTTTGTATGTTTCAAATTTTATTTAAAAATATTAATCTCTCGAAGAAATACAGTAACCCGCGTAAAACGTGCACAAAAAACGGTGTACATGATTCCGCCATTTTGGTTATTCTGAAACAAAAAAATCGAAATAGCTTCATAAATTAAAATGTACTCCCTATCGCGTGACCGAGCTTTATTTCATTTTTTTTTAATTGATGGAAATAAACATGTTTAAATTTTTGACACATTTTTTGACATTATAAATGTTATTGTATTTTGGAAACTGAAAATGTTATCAACAAAATCGTCGGTCATGCAATAGGGAGTACATTTTAATTTATGAAACTATTTCGATTTTTTGTTTCAGAATAATCAAAATAACGGAATCATGTACACCATTTAAAAGTGCAAGTTTTACGCGGATTGCTGTATTTCCTCGAGAGATTAATATTTTTCAATAAAATTTAAAACATAACAAGTATAATATATGTATTAATAAAGTGTCAAATTACAAGTGAATCGTATTTGTACTTTTCTTCCAAATCCAAACTCAAAAAAATCTTTATTTTTCAGGTTGGTCAAAGTATCTTACCCCCTTAAATATTCTAGAATTTGGCGAAAATATACAACGCATTTTTTGCGATATTTAAAGTCAATCTTGTGATAAAATAATAAAGATTTCGTGCTAATATGTATAACATTTTTAAAAAATAAATAATTTCTATTGAAGTTTCAGGAGCAAAAATAAGTAATATATTTTAATAAAATAAGTAATAGATTTTATCTATCGTTCAATTTCAAGTTGATTGTACTAGAGCAGAAAAAACTTTAATTTGAAGCTTAGAGTTAGAGTTACTTGGATACAAAATGTTGAAATTAGAAAAGTTGTGAAATAAGATAATCCTTCTGCACATTTCTGTCGAGGAAAAATTGATTTGAAATTTCGCAAAGAACGACAGTATATATCCGCGTCGCTCGCGCGCCAGTATTCTGCAACATCTTGTTCATACAAGATCCCTGTTTAAACATTCACCTCGGGCGCTATGTAATCTGGCGTGCCGCAGAAGGTCTTGGTGGTCTTGTCACCGGTGATGCCTTCCTTGCACATGCCAAAGTCCGCAATTTTTATGTGCCCGTCCTGATCTAGCAAGACATTGTCGAGCTTGAGGTCGCGATAGACGATGCCGCGCGAGTGCAGGAAGAACAAACCGATCGCTATCTCAGATGAGTAAAATCTGCAAACGTGAAAAGAGACGTGTGTTAACTGTGAAGCGCAAGGTCGACGTACATACGTATATACTCGCCGTCGAGACGAATCGCGATTCTAAGATTAAGATTTATGTGAAACTGCGCGGAACGCACGCCGCGCCGTAAATGCGGAAGAAAATAATGAAATCGCGATATCACGATCGCGATTATTAATGAGCAAAAATTAAGGTCAGGATGATGACGACGGCGAAGTGCCATGCGCGTACGTCCGCCTCGGCGAGACACATCTCTCGGGTACAATCGGTTTTCATTTCGTATTCGGAACGTGTTGAGAAAGTTCGACAACGTGAATCGCTCGAGAGTTCCCGTCCTCGACGTTTTCCCACGTCGTCATCGTCGTCGTCTCTCACGGCGCTTTAATAGAGTTAAGGATATCGATCCGCAAGTTAAAGCGGAGCACGTTCATGAACACTAAAATACTCACACTGCCACCGGCTCTTTAAATTTGCCACACTGCTGTATTTGGTACATCAGATCGCCGCCGTTCACGTATTCCATCACGAAGTACAGACGATCCTGAAGCGGAAAGCAGAAAGCGGATCTTTGTAAAGCAAGCGTTTTAGTTAATCTTTCATTGCGTTTCGCATCGTTCATGTATAAGAGAGTTTACATGCTATTTGCTCAACGCTTCTTATTGAAGAAATTTTAATAATATAGTATTAATAATGTAATATAATATTAATAATTTTAATAATATATTTTAATAATAATAAGAAAACTTAACAAGAGCGGGTTATTTTGAGAAGACGAGTGAACAAGTGTTTTTTTTTTTAGTAATTTTAAATATATATGAATATACTTTGGTTTAATGGAATTTTTATAACTTCTAATTAAATATATTGAAGTATTTTAATCAACTCTCTTCTAAAAATTACATGATGAAAAGATTTTGGATATAAGAAAAAAATAAATAAATTAAACAGTTGTACGTGCAATTTATATTGATCTAATTAAATGACTAATTCAAAACTGCATTTAATCATAATCGGAAAAGTAAGCGGACGAATTACAAAGAAAAGTGCTGTGTGTACCATTGTCTGAAAACAAGAATGCAATTGCACCAAGAAGGGCGGTTTGCTCGAGAGCGCGAGCACACGTTTCTCGACCATAGTGCACTCCACATCGTCGTCCTGTATAATGATGTCCTTCTTCAAGATTTTAATGGCATACAGCTCATCGGTCCCCTTTCTCTCCGCCAGCAAGACCTTGAATTAATTGATTCTGTCGAAATGCAGCCAATTGCGGGGTAAAAGCAGCCGTTTCTCAAGATTGTTAAAACTTACCTTGCCGAAGCTACCTTTGCCAAGTACCATTAAGAAATGGAAGTCGCTAGCTCGTATCAGATCGCTCTTGCCCATGTTGTGCGGCACATCTTTATCCTGGGTCGGGTGTGTCTTTTTCGTTACCGAAGTTTTCTAAATCAAGTCAGCAAAAGGCTCGCGTATAAGTCATGCCAAAACTGGACAACCGTTATTTAAAATACAAAATAAGAAACAACTTTGGATATTATTTACCTGAATTTACCGTTATTTTTATCGAAAAGCTAATCAGTTATTTTAATTAAACAGACTATTTCAAAGTGAAACCTTTTCATAAATTTAATTCCTTTGTATCGAGCAATGAATAGCAATGTGCTTATTTTGTATTTTAAAAATAAATCCACGAATCACACATTGTCCAGTAAATAAATACCCGCATTTTGGTTTTAAGCTCGGCGAGGTCGACGCCCTCCTCAGGAACAGGTACATTGTAGAACTCTCCCTCCTCTTGAGTAAGGAGCTTGAACCACCCACTTGCGGGCGCTTTAATAAGCTCCGATATGCCAAAGGATAGGGATCCCATAAAATCATTTCTGGATGTTCGATCCCAATCCCATACTTCGATCAACAGCCGCCTGTCTTTATCCTCGGGTTTGAGGTCGCTAATAGTAAAAGCCAGATTGCTAAAGCGCTATTTTATTTCATGGGGATAGTAATTCTTGCAATCTCCCCTAATTCAATCTCAAGACATCCCTTTCCTTGTGATTTGTCATAAAATAGAAGGCTTAATAACAAATTATTTATGTATATAAAGCTTAAAACAAATTCTACGCATGTAGAGATGTAAATAGAAAAAAAACAAATTGGTTTTTTTTTTCATTTTTTTTAAAGAAAAAAACATAAGCCTCGTTTTTCTCAAAATTTTGTTTTTTTAGCTGTCTATTTAATGCTATATTTTGCTTAATATAAGTTAATTTTTCATGATTTTTTATTTTATAGATAGTTTTATAGATTTAAATTATCATCATTTTAACCTTTACGCAGAACGAGAAAGCCAATATATTGATTCTGAAATATATTTTGAAGCAAGAACTTCAATGAATAATTATAATAAATTCTACTTAAGGAAAAGCTGTTTAGAAAAAGAATTGAAAAGATTCTCCTTCTGTAAAAGTTAAATGTAGATCACATTAAAATTAATTATATAATTATATAATTACTATTTATAATTAATTAGTCGTGCTATCGGAATTAGAAAAAAAACCAATTGGTATTTTTTCAATGAAAAACACGTTTTTTCTAATGTTTTGTTCTATTAGAAAAAAAAAACTTTTTTACATCTCTATACGCACGCTAATACTTATTAAAATCTTTTACGTAATATATTTTCTAATTCAAAAGCCATTCCTGCCAAAATCAAATTTTCCTGATTAATTTATTAAAACAATCTATCACTTTAACTTACATACCGAAGCTCGTCAAGCTTATGAAGTTTGGAAAGAAACATCTCAAAATTGAAACTTCGTTAGAGGGACATTTTAATTCTCAGAAATAAAGATCTAATTGTCCGATGCGAACTCGGTTCTCGATTAGCGGACGAACAAAAACAACTTACAAGATGATTGTCTCGTTCCATTCTGGATTTAAGTTTGACTTGATTGTCTTTGTTTTCTTCTTCACGTTGTCCGAATCCGGGATTAGCTTCAGCTTAACGTAAGGATCCGATAGCCCATTCGGATCCATCGGAATGAGATTTCGTCCCTCTCGCACTGCGAATGAACAAATCGATCTTTCGGAAAGGATTCATGAAGAGAAAAATACTCGGTAGCTTCGAAGCATGTACTTATCCGGTTTTATATGTATAAAGTACTTCGAGAAAGGAGTGTTATTTTCCGATTGTTAAAAAAATTTTCGCAAACGTGTGTCGTAAACAAATTGCGAGATGCACTAAAACTTATCAAATATTAATTGTAAACATATATAATATTTTATTGTTTTCCTTTTGATTATCGTTTGAAATATTTATTTATTTTTAAACTTAATTCATGGTATGTATATAATAGTTCTCAAACTATTTAAAATTAGACGTAGCATATGGAAAACAATAAAATATTACATACGTTTACAATTAATATTTGCTTGAATAAAGTAAAATCTCACTTTTTATTAAGCTTCTTTTTTGAAACACCCTACATCACCTACATCAATCCTTTTTAAATTGCCCGAAAATCATTAATATAATTCCCACTATATTTTACGCCAAATATATGGGTCTGACATTTTATAATATGTAATTAATATCCTACTGGCTGGAGGTAAAACGTGACTGAGAAGAATGTAATTAAGGAGAGAAAAATCGCGTTTTGTTTTGCACGAAGAAACCTCTAATCCGTTTTATCGCTAATTTTAATTAAACCTCCAGGACACGGCAGTAATATCCTGGTAACCCGCTCGGGCGCGCCATGAATGAGTTTGAAGAAACTAATTTTCGAGATAATCGACAGGTGATAAGAGCTTCGAAGCAATCGATACGCCGCGGCCGTTTCTTCGCAATGCTTATCGAGTCATTTAGATGCTGCAATACGCGGCGAGATGATATTGCCATGGTATTTTATGAGTTTGTTGCGAGATATTGCGTAATCCGTAAACGATAATACCCCGCTTAATCATCTCTAGCTTTGTGTTGACGTGCAAAACTTATTATGAAAAAGAGCTAAGGTAAAATTTTATTTGAATTTATATTCATCGTGATATTTGTACTTCTCCATTTTATGTCGCGTGAAAAATAATTCTGCAAATAACATTTAACTGTATTAAAAACATTTTACATTAATTTAATAAAATTGTGCAACAAACGTTATGCAGCTTTCAAAATAAATCATATATTTGCAAATTGGCATACCGTATCTTTCATTTTACATGTGTAAAATGTAAAGCATTTGTACGAATAATTTGTCGTCGAATGTCTAATTTTTTTTTTATAAAATATGATGCCATGCCGGCATGTACCTATTTATATGAGTAAGTCTCAGTACAAACAAAGGTAAAATACATATTCGCTTTTTTTTTCGTTCTTTCTTTTTAGTCGTAAATATGATGCAAGTATATCTTTGAGAAGGGTAGGCAGGTTGCTACATAAGAAAGATTTGCTTAGATTGCTTGTTAATTATTGTCAAATTTCTGTAACTTAAATTCCAATTAAGCTATTCGCGGAGCAAAATGATTAGCGAATATACGAGATATCTGATGGTACAATTTAGGTTCGCCAGGGTTCTCTCTCTGCGTAACAGCATCACCCTCGGTGAACCAATTTGACGAGAGCCATGGAAAATTTAATGCATTCTAGTCGTGACGAATTTAGAGGATAGCGATGGATATCGGCGCGTTAGTGCCGGTTGCGGATAATTACGCTCCCAGGTTGTAACGGCATTCAGGGTTATTACGTCTTTACGATAATAACGCCCGTGCTCATCTGGCCCTTAGAAGGTTCAATATATCGCGCGCGATCCTAGATAACGACCAATAATAACTCCGATGCCGTTGTTACATGTAACGTCCTCATTTATCCGAAATGGTCATCCATGAACGACACGACGGCAATGACATTGTGCGGATTTTATTAAATCGGACACTCAAAAAGAGAAGGCTTCCTAATTAATTTTAACGAGCGAGAATATTCGTAAAGAGCCTCGATAGTAAAGAGCTACTAATAAAGAGCTATTAATATCGCGCCGTTTAACGATCGCCTTCCCCTTCACATCGTCTATCTTTATCTCGAATAATTGTTAGAAATTCGTTTTGCTGCAATCAGCGATCTAAGCATGCCTAATTAATTTATTTATGGTAGACCCTCGTCAAAGACGTCAAAACAATGATGTTTTTTTGATTGCGGAACGATCTCGTCGTAAAAACGACAGTGTAAACATGTCACGAAGATTCAATATGAGACGCATTTCGGTACTCTCTAATTGATAATAATTTAAACCGAAAATCTTTTTGCGGCATAATCAAATATACAGATGCGTCCATTAATTAAATTAAAAGTCCGTTTTGTATATTAAATTAAAAGTCTGTTTTGTATCTTTTCGTATATTATATTAAACAAACCAAACATTATTTTTTTCAATATTATTTTATTATTTTATCTGCGTAGAAATTGTAAAAAGATTAAACATTTTTTATTTCATTATTAAATGAAATACTAAATAAATTAGCAAACAAAGAGATCCTGTTAGAAAATATATATTATTGATTAATACGTCATGATAATATTACAAGCAAAGTAGTGTAACTTTCAACATATTGTTTTAGATTTTTAGATTTTTCCCTTTGAATCATATAAAGACATCAAAAGAAAATAATTATATTTTATATTAAATACTTTTCTAAACTTTTTTGTATCACGGAGAAAATATTTTATTGCATATTCCTGAAAGTACAGCTTTTGCATAAAATGCTGCCATAAATCGTATAATTACAATACTAATTTTTAGTCATCAAATCTGTTATGCGTAATGTTATATAATAATACTATAACATAATTTTCTTACGGTATAGTAATTTAAATAATATTTACTTTAATTTATCTAAAAATCTAGAATAGCGAAGAACGAGAGAGTTTGTTATTATCGTATCGCATAATCAAGTATAAAAGTTATTAATGATAACTGCAGAAATGAAAACTATAAAAATAATACAAATAACATAAAATAAGAAAAAATATAAAATATCAAACAATCATATAAAATGTCAAACAAATCAGTAGCCCATTGACAAAAATTCTTAAATCCACTTGAAATTTGTTTAGCAAGAGCGAAAAAACTTATATTAATTTTTTATAATTTTTGTTATTCAAGCTACCAATATGATCTTTCTTTGAAAAATTAAAAAAATTCATTATTTTAGTTACCAAAAGGTATATAGCATGGTATGAGAAATACAACACACAATTTTTATTTATTAAAATACAATGCACGTTGCTGGTTTTGTAGATGATAAAAGTATTTAGCTGATTTTCGAACTGCAATGTCCGCCACATTTTAGATGCAAAATCAATTAAATCTTAGAGTAATTATTAAAATAAACAGAATTTTTATAATTTTAAAACATTTTAATTACTCTATTAATATTAAAAAGGATTTCTATATTATATTCCCAAACTCTATATCCTAGTTATTTATTGGAAAAATACAATTTTTTTTCTCTTTTATCTTTGTGTCAAATTCAAATAAAGCACAAAACATAGAGGAAAAAATTACAAAACAAGTTTCATAAAAAAAATAAAAATAAAAACAGCACTGTCGCATTTGGAACAGTACAGAGCAGAGATTTAACTTTTTTTTACAACTCAACCCACTTTTCTCTTTTGACTTTGTTTTAAATTATTTTTACAACGTTTTTACAACATTTTTAAAACGTTCAATTTGTAACTAAGGAATTAAGAAATTCAAGGTTTCTAATTTTTTAATATTTTTAATATTTTTGGAGCTGTTTTTGTCTATCAACTACTCAAATATAATTGTATAAAATATAGTTTAACTGATTAATTGATTAACTAGTAATACTGAAATAATTGTGTAAGTCTAAAAGCGTGAGAGAGAGAGAGAGAGAGAGCTCATAAGTTTTTTAAGATAGGAAAAAAACGATAACAGTATAGAAACAAAATTTAATTTTAAACCTACCTTCTATGGAAAGTTTGCTACCGGGGCATGTGATGTGCAGGTGTATACGACCACGTCTTTCGGTGTGATCGCATCCGCATAGATTCGGCACGCTCTCCTCGCACCTCTTGTGCACGTTCATGTCGCATGCTATGTCATCAGATTATTATCGATTATATCATCATCGATCATCTCTGTTTCTCTTTATGGTGCCGCGAAAAAATATCAATTTGTTGTTTCGTTAATTTTCAACCGACTAGTGAAATCGCAGCTGTCGCTCGAATTACACAACGGGCTGTCTCGTTCGTCCATTTTAAATATTCTTAAATTGGCGATATTTCTTCCGAGATCTTAGGAGCTTAAAGTTTTTGAGCGCAGCTGCGGTTACGCATACGTACACGTGGGAGATTTATGGATCAAGGAGATAAATGAGGTATTTATTTTGAAAGCGGCGCGCGTATCACATTTTAAAGAAACGTTTCAAACGTTGTTACACGTCTTTTAAAGCCGACTTCTTAAATTATGACTTGACATCTAGCCAGTAAGACAAAAACCGTTATAATTTCAATTACAGAAAATAATGTTGATCCGTCACAATAAAAAAAATATAACGATAAAAATTTCAGATATCTACATATGTAGATAAAAACATGTTTTTTTTTAAATATTAAAAACATGTTTTTCTTATTAAGAATAATTGTAACGATTGTAGCATTGCATTTCGCATTACAGCATTATCTACTAAAGTCGCTTTCAAAATAATTCGCTCGAATATACTTTAGAAGTTGAACATCGAGACGATTCACATTCCAAAATACGGGAAAGGAGCACTTCGCTCTTTTTCATGTTGATGAGACTGGCATCTATAAGTATTGAGATGGGAACCGATGTGAAACGGATGAATAGAATAACAGAGCGAATCGAATTTTAAAAAAGTCACGGCCCAGAAGACGAGCGCGATGGCAATACGACGGCAAGTGCGCTTCCTGGCAATTTAAAGACGGTTCGTGCAAAAATTGAAATACAGCGTTTTTATGAAAATATGCGATTCGCTCTCCGATTCCATTCATCTGATTTTATTGTGAATCGAAGCTATTCGACAATGAAATAAAGTCATTGTACATTATGAAGGGAAAAAAAGATTTTTATATAAGCTATGGGGATGATCTCATTTCTTGTTGGAGTTACTACATTCCCACGCGTACATATGTAAAATATTCTACAAGATCTCTCGCCGTTTAGCACACGGAGACCTCTATTATTGTAATGAAAATTCCGATACAAATGGTAAATAGCGACGTGTATGACTGTGTACAGATACATGTCAACGAAAAGCTAACTGCGGATAACACGAATGATAATCACGCAAGTTTCAACACATAGTATGCAATCAAGAAGTTCGCATGTTTGCGAGGGAAAGGTAATACGATTACTTGAATTCACGCGTCGATAAGTGAACGCTGTAAATCTACGTAAATGTTATATATATGTATGTATAAAGATTACATGCATGCACGACAAACATTATCCATGTGTGTATATGTATACATATGTATGTGAATTCGTATATATCGTGCATCAGTGCGTAGAACACAAAAATACGTACATATAGTGAAGTTCTTATATTTATGTATAAAGATATGTCATCTTTTTTTTTTTACACTTTTTCAGATATTCATTATGTTCGCAGAACAAGTCTCAAAAGGAAAATAATAAAAAGAGGTGTTGAAGAAAACAAATAAACTACTAACTAACGTAAATTCTCTAATAAGTAAGCGCTGCTAGAGTTATACGCAGCTAAATAAGGAAACTTCATTGTTCACTTAAACCTAAAGACTTTACCTTTCTTAAACTCTTAACTTAAAATTTAATTATCAAGTTAACGTTCAGATTAAAAATTAAAAACTTGAATCGAACGGCTCCTTTGGAGATTTTCCTGTGAAGAAATCGATTTTAAGGCGGTCGAAGGAGAGCCGTCGTTAAAATTAAAGTCGGAGAGAGGTATCGAGAACGATCCGTAACAAATTATTAATCTAATTATTGTAGATATAATTCATTGAGAATTTCATTGTATGTACGCTTACGTATCATATGTACAATCACTGCAATCGCAATTCATACTACATTAATTATATGTATTATTATTCCATTTTAATAATTAGGTGTATTAAGTTTAATAATTACTCATCCAAGAGAAATGCTGCGCTAAATGTGGTGTAATATATACAATCTATACATATGTAATACACTGGTGGAGATGCGTGTGACGGCGCATCGGTGGTGTGGGTGGCGGGTGTTCCGCAGCACCCGGCGAGATGCACGGCACGCGACGCGGGGGTTAGAATGCGCCGTGTGAATAAGCGGCGAGTGAATAGGCGAAGAAATGAAGATAGAGAGAGTGGTATATTAAAATGCGTTTCTGCTCGCGCTTTGTCGTCGGGGGATAGGCACAAGACGGTCGCCGTTCAGTCACGGCGGAGAAACCGAAGAAAGAAACCGAGCGGCGCGCCAGCAGTAGTACCAGGTGTGGTGCAATGTGTAAGGCAGTCGTGTGATAAAACACAATCAAAAATGCACCAAGGTCGAAAGTATACCTACATGAGCTGGCCGATATACATATACGATCACATTAATATTCTATTGTACCGTTGAATACGAATTACTATGTTATACCAAGCAACATATACTCGTTCGAATCGCGAAGTGACACACAGTCGATTGGGTTTCCCTGTACGGTTGAGCGATCGTATACGAAAGATGTTCCATGCGTTTAGGGGGTGTCTCTAAGCAGGCGAGGGATTCCTGCCGAGATGCCGGATGCCGCTTTCTCTTATCTCTTCGAAGGAAAAACGTATATGCAAACGGCAGGTATCTCATCGCGTCACGACGTCCGGCGATACGTTTACCGCGCCACTTCTCGCCGCGTGTAAAATTCACGGCGAAATACATACATCATAGTGTCGCCCGTTGCCCGGTTTTCTGTGTCAGTACGGCGTGCAATCGTGCATCTCGTCGTCTGAAAGCTTTTCCACAGAGCTTCGCAAGACGAGAGGCCGACGGTGAGATATATAGCGATGTACACACAAGCGCGCTTCGAACGTGAGGTGGCGGATCTTCACGACGACGGCGCGCGGGGGGGACTTCTTTCAAGTGCATCGAGAAGGATGATTACGCGGTCTAAAGCCCGTGTAAAACCCGTGTGGCGCGAATGTCGAAGCGCAAAAAGTGAACCACACTCGAGTGAAGGGCCCTGATTTTTAAAGTGAGATTTTCTGCCGACGGTTAACGACAGATACGCTGGTAAGCGGCATGATTACGTGCGTTCCATATTTTTCAGAATGATCTTCAATTCAATTGAAAGTGTCTTCCGATCATTGAAAGCGATATGATTTTAGAAAATTCGAATCTCTGTTTGAATGCTATAAAATATCAGAGAAATATGATCTCTATATTTATTTATAACTAAAGTATTAGCGAAGATTAAACCCATCGAAATTGTATCTTATATAGTTCACATTCCGATCAAAAATATCGTAAATTAAATATTATGTTTTTCTCCCGCAAATTTCAGACATATTAATATTTATATTTAGATAAAAATTAAATGATTATATATTTTTTTTCTTAGCCACGAAACTTTGACAGCTTTAATCAAATCTTGCTAAAAAAGAACGAGCAATCTAATTAAAATTTTTAATTTCTTTGTTTCATTTTCACGGTATAATATAAAATAATAATTGAAGTTATCTTATCAAAATTCTGCATTTAAATTCTTTATAACATAGTTAAAAAGAAAGATATTAAATTAAAATAATACATTCTAAAAAGGATAAACGAAATATATTTATAGCTTCAGAATTTCAAAATAAATTTAACGTTTTTTTGAAAAAAAATGTCAAATATTAAAAATAAAGCCATTTTTAACGTATTGAAATTCAATTATTTCAGAAACCTGATCTGATTGATAAAATTTGACTTGCGACATCGGTTTCAATATTTAAAAATAAATTACACTTTGCTTGGTTTAAGATACTTTTTGGATATAAACTATATAATGTAATTATTACAATGCATCGTTTTTGTTGAATTTAAAAGGCATAATTTTTTTTGTAAAAAATATATAATTTCAAAAAGTCTATATAACGCAATATATTTTCTCACAGTATATAATAAATGTTCCTCTTTGTCGATTCTTGAATGGTTTCTGTCTAACAAAGTTAGCAATGAAAAACGGTTGACCACATTCGTTGGGTTTCCGCGCTATTCTATAATTAAATTTCTATAATCAAATTAATTGCTCCGATAAATCAAGCTCAACAGACTCTTCTATTTGTTAAACGTATATAGGAAATTCCTGTACGGTTTCATCACAGATTGTCGTTGTTCATGGCACGTATAAATATGCTTGCACCACGACATATATATTTGCGATGTATCTTCAAATAAAAGACCGCTACATCGCAATTTTAGAACGGCTTGTTTGACGACTCGAACGGTTTGTTTGACGATCAAAGCGGCAAAAAAAAAAAAGAACAGGTTGTTTTCTAGTTGAAAAACTGAGCGACAATACGTGCGTTATTACCTTGAAGTGTTAGCTAAATAATGTTCGTTGACATTTATTCGACTTTCGACAATCGTAATGGCGTAAAGTCTGTCGCAATCGCGAAAACGACAAATTAGAGAAACTTGAGAAAATAGAGAGCGGCGCGAGTGACACTACTTTATGATCGGAAATCATTCTGGGAGAAATGTCTGTGTCACAAAGAAAAGTTATACATAAAAGTATTTCCATAACTTTTCGGAATAATCTTGGAGAATAAAAAACTTATACAAAAATTTAAAAAAACAAATGGAGTAATTATAACATGATTTGATTAAACATTTCCTCAATTTTGTCGAAAGTACTTCCAAAGAATTTATTATGTTTTGTAATTCTTTATAAATTTATATAAAATTTACGCAAGATCCACTGCATAATTTCGCGTTAGATTCTCCTAGATGTCGATGATCGGTTCGTAAATTTAAAACTACGCCTTAAGGCATCCGTCCGTTTTGGGCAATGTGTAATATTTGATCGAGCGAAATGTTGTTGAATAAACAGGTTCTCGAACAAATGATCCCGAATCTACAGTCATCCGTCAATACAGATA